TGGCCTGCAGAGCCAGCATCCCATATAGGCTCCAAGTCAAAGTCCCGGCTGTTTCATTCCAGCCTCTTGCTAATGCCCCTGGGAAAGGAGCAGAGGATGGCCCAAGTGCTTGCATGCCTGTAGGAGACTCAGTAGAAGCTCCTGGCTCCTGGCGTCGGTCTGGCACAACTGTGGCCATTGAGGATTGCATCTCCCTCTCTGTCTCTTTTTCTCTTACGTCTGTAACTCTACCTTTGGAAAAAAAATAGGTTGTTCCATCCTGTATTTGGAGGAAAGAAGTTTCATTAACAAATTTTCTTTCTTTTTTTTTTTTTTTAAAGATTTAGTTATTTATTTGAAAGTCAGAGTTACATAGAGAGAGAAAGCTGCAACGGCCGGAGCTGCGCTGATCCGGAGCCAGGAGCTTCCTCTGGGTCTCCCCATGTGGGTGCAGGCACACAAGGACTTGGGCCTTCTTCCACTGCTTTCCCAGGCCATAGCAGAGAGCTGGATTGGAAGTAGAGCAGCCAGGACTCGAACCAGTGCCCAATGAAATGCTGGCCCTGCAGGTGTTGGCTTTACCCGCTATACGACAGTGCCAGACAGCTCCTTATGTATCAGGATCTATAGTTTAAAAATATTTTTGTTAATTTTTATATACTTGAAAGGCAGACTGAGAGTGATAATGTGAGAGTGTGAGCAAGATCTTTTTTTTTTTTTTTGACAGGCAGAGTGGACAGTGAGCGAGAGAGACAGAGAGAAAGGTCTTCCTTTGCCGTTGGTTCACTCTCCAATGGCCGCCGCGGCCAGCGCGCTGCGGCCGGGGCACCTTGCTGATCCAATGGCAGGAGCCAGGTACTCATCCTGGTCTAGAACCCGTTGTGCCGGCGCCGCAAGGCGGAGGATTAGCCTAGTGAGCTGCGGTGCCGGCCATGAGCAAGATCATACACTTACTAGTTCACTCCCCAAATGCCTGCAGTGGCCAGGGCTGTATCAGGCTGAAGCCATGAACCTAGAACTTTCTGATTCTCTAAGGTGAAATATGAGAAGATTGTACTGGCATTGTCTCCATGAGAAAAAAAGAAGCTGTTTCTGCTGTTCTCATCTTTGCCGGCACTGTGGTTTTTCCTGATGTGTCCTGTGAGCTGGATGTGAGCCCTGAGATCCTCAGAGAGATTATATCAGCCACCAGGTGACAGCATTGGAACATGCAGTATTAGGCTGTGTTGTTGGGGTGCCTACTTGCATTTGATTACACGGGTATGAAGATGTGGAAGACTGACAAGGCCAACATCAGGATTGAGACTGTTCCTTGTAGGGCAGATACTAGTCATGCACAAGTAGATGGGTAGAGGTTGCAGCTGCTGCTTGGAGGAAGGTGTCAAGGAGGAGACAGCTATATCCAGGTTCAGGGCAACAGCCTGGTCCTTCAGGGCTCCCCGCCAGAGCTGGGAAGGTGGTGCAAGTCAGATATTTCAGCTCGCCTCTGGGAGTAGTGAACAGACTTGTTCAGCTGGAATTCATTATTATTTAGTGTCTGTCCTTTTCCTGTACTTTCCCTTCTTCCTGGAATATTCCTTTCCTTCCTCATGCCAATTCCCAGCTCTCCATCTGGCTTGACAGACCCTCATTACCTTTTTGTTTTGTTGCCTTAGGTTCAGTCCAGCTTATCAACTGCCTAAAGTAAAGCCAGACTCCATAAGGCAGCCTGCCTTTGCATTGGTTGAGTACTCTTGCCCCTCAGGCGGCATTATTTGGATAGCAAGTTCCTCAGAAGCTCTACTTTCCTGACTGGTCTTCTGTTTCTTATTTTCTCTTTTGTTGGCCTCTGAGTGTCTTTGACAAGACCTAGTAGATTCCATCCATTTATTTGTATTTGCTTAGGATCGGTGTTTTCTGCTTTCATGGAAGAAATTACCCTGCACCTGGATATTACTAATGAAACCTGGATACTGGGGCTGGTGTTGTTATATAGCAGGTAGAGCTACCGCCTGAGACACTGAGTCCCTTCTGGGTGCTGCTTCGCTTCACATTCAGCTCCCTGATAATGGGTTGGGAAAAGCAGTGGAAAATGGTGTAGTGCTAGGGCCTCTGCCATCTATGTGGGAGGCCTTGAAGAAGCTCCTGTCTTCAGCCTGGGCCATCCATTGCTATTGGCAGCCATCTGGGAAGTGAGCCAGCGGATGAAAGATCTCTGTCTCTCCCTCTCTTCTTGTAACTCTTATAAATAAATAAATAAATAAATAAATCTTAAAAAAAAAAAAAAAGAAAGAAAAAACCTGGATGCTGAGTAGTAGTAGTATGCTAAGTCTCCACCTGTGGCACCAGCTTCCCCTTTGGGTGGTGGTTCTTGTCCCGGCTGCTGCTCTTCAGATCCAGCTCTCTGCTTGTGGCCTGAGAAAGCAGTGGAAGATGGTCCAAGTGTTTGGGGCCTCCACACCCATGTAGGAGACCCAAAAGAAGCTCCTAGCTCCTGGCTTTGGATTGGCCCAGCTGACAGATATAGCAGCCATTTGAGGAGTGAACCAGCGAGTGGATGGAAGACCTTTCTCTCTCTTTAACTCTGCCTTTCAAATAAATAAATCTTTTTTAAAAAAAATCCTTGACAGATTCTGTAGGTAGATGTTAATCCCAGCTTATTTCTAACATGTTCTAGTTTTTTTTTTTTAATCTGATTTCTTTTTGATACACAATACTGCTATTAGAACTTAAATGTTTTATTTTAATATTACTCTCAGTTCCAGGGTTCATTGCCTTTTCCGGGGTGGGGAGAAAGTGAAGTTCTAGCTTTCCTGCTGAATTAATCCCCCAAACCCTTCCTGCCTTCTCTCACTTTCCTGGTACTTTTGCTTCCACAGATGGCTGCACAAGTTATCACAGGATCCTGTTATTAATAAATTCACCTTTTTGATTTCGTTTACTTGTCTTAGCATCCAAGATACAGTATAGGAAGGTAGTTCTTCAAAAGAAATTCATCATGGATTTTTTTTTCTTTTTAAATCTCTCTTTTTGTATTTAATAAATATAAATTTCTTTCTTTTTATTTTTTGATAGGTAGAGTGGACAGTGAGAGAGAGAGAGACAAAGAGAAAGGTCTTCCTTTGCTGTTGGTTCACCCTCCAATGGCCGGCGCGGCCGGCGCGCTGCGGCCCGGGCACCGTGCTGATCCGATGGCAGGAGCCAGGTGCTTCTCCTGGTCTCCCATGGGGTGCAGTGCCCAATGACTTGGGCCATCCTCCACTGCACTCCCTGGCCACAGCAGAGAGCTGGCCTGGAAGAAGGGCAACCGGGACAGAATCCAGTGCCCCGACCGGGACTAGAACCCGGTGTGCCAGCGCCGCAAGGCGGAGGATTAGCCTAGTGAGCTGCGGCGCCGGCTTTAATAAATATAAATTTCAAAAGTACAACTTTCAGATTATAGCAGCTTTTCCCCCCATAACCTCCCTCCCACCAGTAACCATCCCATCTCCCACTCCCTCTCGCATCCCATCAAGATTCATGAAAGGAATGTTAAGACATTGTGTACCACGGTTCACTCTCTTTTAAAGGAACTCTAACACCAAGCTCCCAGACCTCTAGGTGTTAAAGATCCCTGATTTAGTCTCTTTGGTGGCACCTTCTCATGTAACACACTGCATTGTATGACAGTGTGAGGCTGAGTAAAATTTATCTTGCTTTTCCTGAAGTATTTATAAAGGTAGATTTAGGAAAGAGATCAATGGAACTGGTATATAAAGATAACAGAAAAAATTGTGGAAGATGATTGAAAAGTTTATTTTTGGTACAAAAAATCTTTGAAATTAATGTATAGTTTTTATAGTGTGCATTTTTACTACCTTTTTGAATTACTCTTATACTAGGGAAGAAAATCGTCTCATCTTTGCGTTAGTGTGTCTCCTTCTGCATTCTTTGTTTGATGAGGAAGACCTATATCGCACTTATTAATACTGAGCAAATCCTGGTATTATTAGTTTGTTTTAAGTCAGAAATGACAGCATTTGAAGATGTAGAGGGGGGAGGATGTGTTCTTCATTGGGGAGGTGTGAGGTGTTTTGGTTTTGTTTGTTTGTTTGTTTTTTTGCTTTTTGGTTTGTTTTTGTTTTTTAATTCAATTTTAATATTGCAGTGAAATTTGTACTACTTTATAACCTGATCATAGCTATCACAGTGGTTTCCAAATATATTTAGATTTTTGGGATTCTGTGTCATTACCCAGTTATGAATATGAGACAGTTACTTTACATAAAGAAATATTAAATTGTGATTTTTTTTCCTACTTGTCTTTTTAAAAGTTTTGAAGTTTAGTGCTTTATTTTTATTTTTTTTTTAAGATTTGTTTTACTTGTAAGGCAGAACGGCACATAGAGAGTTGAAGACACAGAAAGAGCTCTTCCTTTCATTGGTTCACTTTCCAAATAGCTACAATGGCTGCCAGGTCTCATATGTTGGTTGGCAGGGGCACAAGTACGTGGGCCGCCTTCTGCTGCTTTCTCGGTGCATTAACAGAGAGCTGGATCAGAAGTAGACCCTGGGGGACCTGTGTCAAAGGTGGTAGCTTAACCCTTGGAATCACGACCACTAGGTCCAAGCCTTGAATGTTTAATACATACTCTAGAACAATCGGTCTTTCTCTACCGTATGGGTAGCTGTTTTTATTTTAGATGGCATTTTCTTGCTCAGTTGAATCCTTGTGCTGTTTTTGTTTTTCATTTTTCCTTAAAAACTATTCCAATGAGATTTAAAATTTTTTGATTTGTTACGTTGGGTAAGTGACTTAATCCCTGCTGCTGGGAGATGTTGCTTAAAATCTGTTAAAAGAACACATGTGGAGTTTTTGTTTCCTGGAGGATATTTGAGAAATAAATTGAAAGTGGCAATAGAGAGGGAGTAGTTTTGTTTTACATGTTTGGCCACAAGAGTTCAGGTTTGTCACTTTGTGAATGTGTCCTTTGGTATTGCTCCTTCGGGAAGGAGTGAGGTTCCAGGCCTTTGTTGGTGAGCTGTCTTTCTTGTATCAACAGGTTCTCCTGCGCTGCCCAACAGCATGGTTTATTTTGGAAGCTCTCAGGACGAGGAGGACGCCGAGGAGGAAGATGATGAAACAGAAGATGTCAAAACAGCCACCAACAACGCTTCATCTTCATGCCAGTCAACCCCCAGGAAAGGAAAAGCCCACAAACATGTTCCCAATGGGCATGGTAGGCTTACTGTTAGATTTGTTTGATTTAAAACCTGTTTAGAGGTCTCATATTGGGAAGAAAATAGATGAAGACTCTAGCTGGGTAGTGGCAAAGAAAGAGATGACTAGTGGAGCACAGTCCAGTTCAGAGCGTTCTGGGTGACTTGATTGCTAAGATGAGTGTGTTCTGCTTGTGTTGTGGGATTGCAGGAATCAGATGCAGAAAAGATCCCATCTGAACGTGGATGATCAGGAAGATTTTGTGGGTGAACTTTGTGATCAATTCTCAATTATTTTAATTTCAGCAGATTGACGCTATGTTGAAAGCAAGCTATGATTCTTCGGTAATTTAGAAAAGGTACATGTGGAACATGTATTTTTAAAAATGCATGAATTCCATCTTTGTTTTGCACCAGAATAAATGGTCCCTTGTACTTTCTGAAGTATACTATGAAGTAGAGTTATTGGAGGAGGATTAGACAAAAGCATAGGAATGAAAGGTTGGTTTTCTCATTTTATTCAAGTAAACTGCCTGCAGAAAGTGCCCAGTGTTTTTTTCAGCTGATGTGGTAACCTATTTGAAGTTGTACTTACCAATGCTCCCGGAGTCTGTATTAGCAGGAAACTGGAGTCAGGATTCCAGATGCTGGAGTCCCAGGTACTACGATGTGGGATGCAGCATCTTAACCACTAGATTCCTGCCCATATGTGAGTTTTGTGAAGATCCTTTATATCCATTTTCTGTGGAGCTACTGGCTACTCTACTACATATAATTTGTTGTGGGCTCTCTTAAGAGACCCTGTGAGGTAGAAGGGCTCTTTGTAAACAGCACTGTCAACCGTAGAGGACAGCTATGTTTTTTTTCTGTTCTTCTCCACACCTTTGCCCTGAGCTGCCATAAGCAACAGAGGCTCAGGACAAGCATATGTTAGATAAAATGGAGATCAGTCTAGTTGTCATCGTCTGGCATTTCTGCCTTGTCAGTCTAATTATTGTTCATCTGTCTCACCACTTAGGATTTTGTTGAGGTGACATATAGGTATGGTGGAGGACATAGCACTCTTGGAAGAACTTGCTTTTATTCGGGGAGAAGAGCTAATACAAAATGGTAACTGAATTTTAACCTTGGTAGTTGAAAGAGAGCTGCATCTATTAGTTGGAATGGCAGAATGCTGGTTGGGGGAGGGGCTTGTTTTCACTCCACTAGGACAAGGTGTGCTTCCAATGATCTGATCCAGAAGGGCCACAGAGATTCATTAACATATGCTCTGTTAGGCAATAGTATAGAAAATGATTTTTAGTTGTGTAAATGAGATGAAGTGGGTCAAGTTCAGGCAGTTCCTCTGGCAGCAGGATTCTCTGAAATCAAAGAAAAATTGAAGTCAAAGGATCCTATCCAGGAGCCAGCTGTTGAGAACCTGGACTTGGGAGCATATAAAGGTACAGCTTTTACAAGGGCCTTGAGAGACGGGGATGAAAGCAGTGAATTAGGAAGTAGGAAGGGGAGTTGATTGAGGGAGTAAGAAAAGACAGTTGATAATCTTTCATTTAGGAGGGGCAAAAATTACTCTTGAGAAGAAGTTTATTGTTTGTTTGATCAACACCTGAGAATAAGTGGAAACATAACTTGAAATTGCATTCTTTATCTGTTAATCTCCTTATATCCATGTGATAGAAATATATTTCACTAATGTAATGTTGGTTCCTTCCAATATGTTTTCCTCTCCCTTTCTGTGATTGGACAAACAAATCCATGTATCATGTCATCGACTGAATTAATTCCACATGTGCTCGTGTGTGATGGACTCTATAATTCCTTTCTTTTTTCAGCTACTTTGAGCTTGACTTGGGGTTTGGCAGACAATTGTCTCATAGAATCAGCATCTAATGTTAAAATTGATCTTTTGTGTACAGAGGTCTTTAGTTCTCTTTTCCCATGAGTTGCAGATTGATTGATTACATCCAGGGAGTCAGGCAGCACTACTGAGAGGAGTGGGGTGGAAGTGAAGGAATTGGCTGGGATTCTCCATTGTCTTTGTCTTTATTTGTGAGTCAAGGTGAGTGTATCAGTGTTTCTATATCTGTAGATACATATATCTGTATATGTGAGGAAACACGTGGATAAGCCTATAATATTTTAATTTGCTAGGAAATTTTAAAATGTTTAAGCAGTTACTGTTTTGTGAAAATAAGATGGTTACTGAAAAGAGTTTAAAATGTTCACTTTGGGAATTTGCTTGTTATTTGAAACCTTTCCAGAAACAATGTTTTTTTAATGAACTAATTTTTCTTGTTTGGGGGCTGCAAAGGATGATGGGAGTCTTTGGTTCCAATCTGGAAGGACTGGGTTGAAGGTATGTGTTAGGAGATGTCTCAGGAACTAAGTACATGAAGGTTTGCTTCTGAGGGCTGTGTTTTCTTGATTATGGGTCCCATTTATGTCTCTATCTCTCTCCTATTGTTTTCAGTTGCTGTGTTCAGATGTGTGGTATAATCTGCAGTATAGTTTTTGTTTTTTGTTTGTTTGTTTTTTAATTTCTTAGTAAGGGAAGTCCATTCCTTTTTTGACTTTGACAGGCTTATGACTTTAGGTAGATGGAAGTCATCTTGATGGAAGTCATCTTTTAGCCCAGTCCCCAAACTCCCAAGACATCTGCCTGGGAAGGAATTGGCTGTTCTTTCAAAGAGTTACCTTTGGATCCAACATCACCAGAGCTCTATAACACCATCATGGTGAGAACCTCTGTGGCTCTGCAGTTTCTCTGGCCTTGTCCACCAGTGAAGTTAGGGGAACAGTACTAGGGGTCAGTCACAGGTGTATGTTTGTACTTAGGTTTGGCTCTTTCTTGGGCTGCAGTCCTTCCTGCTGTCCAGAGCCAACGTCTCCCACCCTGCACAGTCTCTTGGTCTGTGATGGGCCTGACCAGTCACAGAGCTTGCTGCTCCCCTCCCCAGACATTTCCTTTGGGAATCCAATTCCTCTGCTTTTCAGCAGCCCTGTGGAAAAGTTTGAATTTTGTTTTTGGCTGACTTTTTCTGGCTTTGTTCTGCAAAATTAGTTTGTGAGTTTTCATGAAAAGTCTGTGTTAGGAAGGATTTTGTGTTTACATGTCCCTGAAAGTGTTGTATTTGTAGATGATTTGGAAGGGAGCTCTGGAAATTATTTCTCTGGGAAAAGTGCTGAAACATAATCATGGAATCTTTGGTGGCCAAATTGTGCATTATTAACCATAGTGAACCACATTAAAGGTTTATGGAGTTGTATGGAGTTTTTTTAATCATACATGAAAGGGGCAAATCTTGTGTGCATGTGAGAAATGTGTGTATGACTGATCCTGTGCTGTGCTTGCTTCGGCAGCACATATACTAAAATTGGGACCCTGTGCTGATTCTGGTGCTTTGAAAACTAGCCCAGATCGTCACGGCTCATGGGCTCTACCTTCATCAAAAGTACCCTGAGACTCGGCTCTGTACAGAGTGTCCCCTGGTCATAGCACTTTCCCTGCCATTCCTCTGTTGTACCACCCCCAGTTTCGCTTGTCATTCTCAGTGCTAGCCTCCTGTCTCCTGTCTTTGGGTGTGTTTCCTTCTAGGTTACTCCACTTGTTTTAGACCCCTTGGTAACCCTCTCTTCAGAACCAAGGGGTGGCCTGTTACTGTGAGCTTCTCAGATGTTCTGATGTTATTTTTGGACACCATTACAAATGGCATTTCCCAGTTTTTGTGTGTATGTGTGGGTTTTATGGATTTGTTTGCCTTTCACACATCTAAGTCTCAGGTCTTTTGTAATCATCATGCAAAGAAAACACAGCCTGAATATTGTTAGGTAGGGGTTTGAGTCAGGTATCAGCTAGTGAGCTCTTTGTCTTCCTGTTCTCTCCCTCCCTTTCTGAAGAGAGGAACACCAGCTACTAAAGAGGTGTACCTGGATCCTGTTCTGCTGAGGTGTCATGCTGTTCTCACCTGGAATTAGTATTCTTGGAGTTAAATAGTGACAATCCAGGGGTGAGACTTAGAACACCAGTAGAGGGAAGGGGTTGATGGCGCTTGCAAATGTACAGACTGTTGGAGTTCTCCAATGTCAGACGACCAGGGAAGGATGATGGTTTTGTTGAAACAAAAGTCTCCTTCTGCTCTCCTTCCCCCAGTGGCTCAGCTTTATTCCCTCTTTTTACAGATATTAACGTGGGAGCAGAAACTCTCTGCTTCTTTATGGTTTTTGACTTGACTCAAGAAGCTACAGATATTAAAACAGGCTTTCCAAAGAACAGTCTGGATTTGTCCTTAATAGTGCAGACTCCTTCATAAGAGGGAAGAAGAGTAGGTTGTTTTCTGATGATTTGTCCATTCTTGAGCATTTTTCCTATCAGATTGGTGCTTTCTCCCATTTTGTGTGCTGGCAACATGGAAGCATTTCAGGGAAGCTAGCACCATCGTGTCTTCCCCAGAGAGTGAACTGCACTGAGATGGGCAGAGGTACACAGACAGCAAAGTATGCAGATGGATACTTTATGACTGGAGTAGCTTGGGTCAAAAATTCCTATTCAACTGCATGTCCAGTTTTAAGAACCTAGAACCATGAATCCAGAACCCAAACTGCTAATGGTGTCCTATTTTATCCCCAGCCAAGCAGTGGGGGCAACTTGGGGCATGGAGATCAGGACAGCAGGCTTGGAGAAGTGATAAGAGAAACACACTCTCTGTGACACTTGGGACACTGCTGTAGATGGCGTCTAATTGTGTATCCCCAAGACAGTACTTGTCCTTGGTGTAGGAGCCCTGACCCTAGTAGTCCTATAAAAGAGCCTGATGTCCCAGGCCAATGTTTAGTTTCACAAACCTAACACAGAACTCTCATTCTTACATATAGTCGACTGAACATCCTAATGGAAATGTATTTATTTGTTGCAATACGCAATCTGAAATGACTTGTTAACACCATCATTTGAGCTTTTGAACCTTGGGTTAAAACTCAAGGGTTGTAACAACCACCCCTCCAGAAACTTCTGTTTCCGTAG